GCAATTTACTGCTATCTGTTCATGTTTTTTGGTAACACTAAGTTGCTGATAACTAAGAAATGTGGCCCAACTTTATTTCCACTACAATACAATTCATTTCTTTTTCTTATTTTTTCAGATAATTTGTAAAAATATTTTTAACATGCTATTAACTTTCGTACAAAAGTTATTAATTTTACTTTGGTTTTATGTTAGTGACCTTTTTTGAATAATTAATTTTTTTTAAAAATCTTTTAATATTTATTTTGCAAACCTTGGACTAAATAGATATGAACTCATATTCAAATTTTTGACACATTACAAATAGTTTTGTAAATTATTATAATAATTCCAATTATTGAATAATATTTAAATAAATTTACTATGCAGATTTCTTAAACTATTAATAAACTATAATATATTATAGTAATAATTATACTATATATATATATATATGTTTATATCATTAAAATAAAATGTAAAGAGACCTAATAATGTCTAATTAGTCATAAGTAGTAATTGTAGACAATTTGTCTGATATGTTTATTTTTTCATGTCTTTGAAATGCAGATTATCCAACTTTTTGACTATTCTCCGCTAGATGCATATATGATCCAATGGAACTATGAAACTAATTTTAGATCAATTAAAAACAATATAAGTGAGTGGAGTTAAATTGTGATCACCTAACTTTTTGAGTAATCTCCACTAGATGCATATAAGATTCAATGAAACTATGAAACTAATTTTAGATTAATTAGAAATAATATGAGTGAGTGTAGTTAAGTTGTGATTACCCAACTTTTTGAGTCATCCCCGCTAGATGCATATATGATACAATGGAACTATGAAACTTCTATCAGATCAGCTAGAAATAATATAAGTGAGTGCAGCTAAGTTGTGATCACCCAACTTTTTAAGTAATCTACGCTAGATGCATATATGATTCAATGGAACTATGAAACTAATTTTAGATCAATTAAAAACAATATAAGTGAGTGGAGTTAAATTGTGATCACCTAACTTTTTGAGTAATCTCCACTAGATGCATATAAGATTCAATGAAACTATGAAACTAATTTTAGATTAATTAGAAATAATATGAGTGAGTGTTGTTAAGTTGTGAATACCCAACTTTTTGAGTCATCCCCGCTAGATGCATATATGATACAATGGAACTATGAAACTTCTATCAGATCAGCTAGAAATAATATAAGTGAGTGCAGCTAAGTTGTGATCACCCAACTTTTTAAGTAATCTACGCTAGATGCATATATGATTCAATGGAACTATGAAACTAATTTCAGATCAGTTAAAAATAATATAAGTGAGAGTAGTAAAGTTGTTATAACAAAATAATACCTTGAAGTATGAAATTATTAAGGTTCATCTGTATTTGACCTTCTTAAATTTCTCAACATTGCATAAGAGTTTAACTGTAATTATGTATGATGCAAAAGAATATTTTGTTTAAAATAAAATTGGTGAGGAAATTGAATTTAAATAAATTCTAAAATGTTGATAAAGTTTTAAAACTCATTACATTAGAAAAAGGTTTAGTTCAAGCAATGTATTTACTAAATTGTTTGATCGGTGTGGGAAGAGTTTTCACCTGACATAGAAAGAAACGTTTATGATACTTTTGTTGTTGTTATTTCTGAAACTTCTTATTTGAACTTGATGCACACATTTCTAACAATGTTTCAGCTACTTTATATAAATTGTAACTATAAATTGTATGAATGTCATCAAAAAACCTATTTGTAGCAGATAGAACTACTTTATTTTCTATAATTTTATTCTTTTAATGCCAACCTTTCAATTACAGAACAATTATTCAAATACTGGAGGCAGATTGTGTCCATAATATCCGCAAATTTAACTATAGCGACTAGTAAAGCGTGGTCCGGTGAAAAATCCTGATAAAACAATATTTTTCTTCTGTAATTCGTAATAGCAATAAGGATATTTAATTTTTATAGTAATACTAGATAGTATAATTCGGATATTGTGCAATCTCTTTCGAGATAGTTAACATTATAAAACCAGTAGCCAAGACCATCTTTTTCCCGGCTAATAGCACAATTATTGAATTATTTTGTTTACACTTAGATCTTCTTTTAACGTACTTAGATATATACGTTTAAATTTTACTTTGTTTTAACTATTAGAATAGGTTTATAGAAATGTTGAAGTGATTGAGTTTCGGTACAAAGTCAATAAACGTGGCATCCGATACGCGAAAGGCTTTCTTTTTCTCATCTTCTCTTAAATTTTTATGCAACTTTTTTCAAATAAAGCATTTCCCTCAAATAAGGAACAACCTCAGCGAGGTTACTAATATTTATTCGACGCTTATACAATACTATTTAATTTACTTCTCCGATCATGTTTGAAGTGTCTACTGTTGCATTTGATGACATGAAATTTCCACAAACTTATTCTAAACCAAACAGTCTTTTAAGTTTCAACAAGTTAGCAGTAGTTGGTACGTTAAAAAATAGATAGAATCCATCAATGCAATCACTTCATCAAAAACATAGACATAGTTACTCGCCTCTGTCAACTTTGAGGGCATTAGCACGCATCCAACCAACCTATATTAACCTTAACCATTCTTAAATGACTTAAATGTTCTTCACTTGCCTAATAGAAATTTACAAACGTGGACTTATTGAATCTCCCTAATTGAATTTGGAAGCTCAGATAGTCTAACAAGGATAATACACGAAAGTAATTACAATTAGTGTTTCTCGCCTCTTTCAACTTTGAGGGTATTTGCCACCCAATTTATCTTAACCTTATCCATTCTAAATAGGATTAAATTTGTTAATACATATTCTATTTTAAATATAAAATTTATATAAGGTACTTTAATCAATTTATGCTTTTCTTTTCGCAAACAGTTCAAATCAATTAATGAAAAAAATTATTGAAAATTAATTTTGTTAGTAAAAACAGTTGATATTTTAAGAATTGTATGTTAAACATAATTTAGAGGCAAAAGTTTGTTTATTTGTAGTTAAGATAATCTCAAGATTCTAGCCATGTTGACAAGACATAAAGTAATTTTTTTTTGAACTCAACTGTATTACTGAACGACGTTTGGTAAAATCCAAATAGTAGCTTAAATTAGTAACTTTTTCACGCCTTGTAAACAAAATGTACTCGTGAATTAAAAATCATATACTTTTCTGTGTGCAAATAAAGAAAATTTACATTTTTATTGATGAGTTTGCAATGAAAACTGGTTTAAACGCCAGTTGTCCTTCTTATTGTTTGGCATCTGAGACTTTTTCGAGGTTACCACACACGAAAATGCACTAAATACTTGATTTGCGGACAACTGCTTCATGCTTCTTAACGAACAAGTGAACGCTTAATGTACTCGAACATATCGCATACAGACATTCACTGCTCATAGCAAACACTTGTGCCATTTCTTATTTAAAATCAAGAATTCGTTTGAACTTGTTTTACTGATAATATTTTGTAAATATTAAAAATAAAATATGAATAACAATTTTCTGATGGCACATTATTAAACTTGTTCTCGGCATTCCTTAACTGGGAGAGAAGAACTGGTCATAGAATTAAAATTTAATATCTAGTATTAAAAACACTTTTTATTAACTGTATAATACTACAAATATATTTTTTTAGTTGCTATAGATCGTCTTAAATAATTAAAATTTCGGTTTTTAAATAAATTGTATGAATATATTATTTTGTCATTTATTTTGAACTTTTTTATATATTATTTATATTTATTTTAATAAATAATGCTTAAGTCTGAAAGAAAATGTTGAAAACTGTTTAATACGTAGAATACTTGGCAACTTTTAAAATTGCGTACAACACTCTCATATAAACAAGTAAAAATTCAATATTATATACGCAATAGCTAATTATGCATGTATAATAATATAAAATATACACAATATCTAATGAACTATGTATAATAATATAAAATACTTTTATTTGATAGATAGAAAGCCATGAACCCACTAGAATCACTTCTTAGGAAAGAGTTGAGAAGATATTTCTCACACCTTTCAGACTGTGAAAGACTTTCCTACTTTCAATAAAGTATAGTAAAAACTGTCTTAGTAAACATTTATTGCAAGCCAACATTTGTCTATTAAGAAGGGCTGTCCGGTGAAACCAGGTGATTCAAATTAAATAACAAAATTTCACTTTATGAAAATTGTTCACTCACGAGAGGAATTCGTTCTCAGAATTGTCAGTTAGAAGAGTTTAAACAAATTGTAATGGTATATATATACATATATGTAACATAGACGTCATATAGCCGAGGTACAGCGTGGAAGAATTAAAAGTAGACATTCCGAATTTTATATTTTCTGAACCAGTAGAGATAGAGATACGGGCTTTATTTTAAATATATTTTGACCCAAACATGGGCCTAATAAATTTGGGACCAAATATTGTCAACTTTTTCATTTTTTTGAACACCTCAAAACCTATATTACGTAGAAAATATAGATCAGACAATTTTGTGATATTCTCCCTGCTGCAACACCTACCCCCATACAAACCTCATAGAAATTTTATGAACCCCCACCGAAATGAGTTTTGAGAGGACCAACTATAAATTCGTATAATTTGTTCATTAAATCATTATTCTGCTAATCCAGAAATGATGATATTTTATATTTTTTAATCCTTGGGATATATTTATTAATAGCTTGTAAAAACATTTTCAATTTTAATCAACAATAAAATTTTATAAATAAAAATGTACCATATGTCCATTTTTTATAGATTTTCCATTTAAATCTTATAACCAAAACCCGAAAATAATATCCAAGTTTTTCTATAACCTTCTTTTACTATTAGCTTTCATAAAAGTTTTATGAAAATCAAAAAATGATTTTTGATTTTGACAATAAGTATTCACTATATAACTAGTCTTCATCTTTTCTATTCTATGATTTATATATTTAATATTTCTAATATTATTATTTTCACATCAAATAATTTTAATCTTTTTTATTTACCTCAAATTTTAATCTTTTATCTTATTTTGTTGTCATTGTTCCGAAAAATCCAATGTCACATAAATTTTTCTTTGTTTATTTACACTTTTTATATTATTTGCACTTTATTTTCAATGGTTTCCTTTGTTTTTACAATTTAATTCTTTTTAATAATTTTCTGGAATGATGCTCCAGTTTTTCTTTGAAAAATATTTAAAGAATATCACTTGACAATTGTAGAAGCACTTTAAAATAACAACCATTCCCATTAAAGTAATTAGAATGTA